AATTGTCGCTTAGTAAAATACTGCGTATATGCCACAACTGGCTACTAAAGCGATCAGTATCTGCTACAGCAGCAGAAACGGAGAATACAAAGATTTCAGCAGTGCAGTGGTATCAATACTGCCGTGATGTCGCCTCACAAAAGATGAATGGGATCACCTCTGTACTCGGGGAGTTGGCGTCGTAGTGTATATTGATGAAACTGTACTTATTAAGCGAAAAATGAATCGAGTAAGGAATACAGCGAATCATGTTCGTGTGCTGGGACTTTACGACACAAATCTTCGTAAAGGCTTTGTGGAACGCAGCCTGAACAGAAGTGCTGATGTGTTAATACCAATTATACAGCGACTAGTCCTCCTAGGAACTACTATTCACACAAACGATTGGAGAGGTTATTTTCAATTGTCATCCCTAGGCTATATTCACCACAAAGTCAACCATTCTTCTGAACTGGTGTATCCTGTAACAGGAACACATACAAATTCCATTGAAGGATTTTGGGCTCATCTCAAAAAAGTATCAGAATGGTAAACGGTTCCCGAAGTGATATGGTATATAGCCATTTAGAGGAGTTTTTGTCTCAGCATTGGTTTAATATGTCTATGACCACTCCTATGAGAAACTGAGACCAGTTTTTGCAGCATATTAGAGACATTTATCCTGTATAATTCATTTTTATTACATATATATGTTATAAATACAGTTTTTTATTAATTTTATGGCATTTTTTAACTGAAAGAATCTGATTGGCTGTTTCAAGGTCATTTTTCTTTGGTGTCTGTTCTTTACCGTTGCCTAGAGTTTGCTTCTGTCTGTAAATAAATAAGTCTTCTAGTAATTTTACCAGTGTCTCTCAAAGGCAGTACTGTCTATCAAAGATAAAACAGAAGAATTTTTAAGTGTTGGCTTGCATTGATTTGATTGGTCACAGGTTTGATGACGAGTTGAGATCACTTAAGGAACCATTGAAAAGACTTGGAATAGTGGACGGCTGTTTCATCCTAGTTTGGGAATAATCAGCAGTATACACCCTTTGGTGTTTGAGTCCAGGATCTTCTGGTTACAAGGCAAGCTCGTAGACCATTCAGTCACTGTAATCCGGTTTAATAATCCATGACCTCAATCCACTACTTTGATCAATACATGTGATATCACACTCATCATATGATACTTCTTAAATTCAATTACCTTTCATAATTAGGTCAACTGGATCCTCAGTATATCACAGTTCATAACTAACTGAATTCTTTTGCTTGAATGGCATTCTAAGTTCAGAGTTTGGGATGTTCCTTCATTGCTTAACACTACAGTGGAACTTTAAACTTCTTCATATATTTGGTTCCCTTGGTAAATTTCGACAAAGAAAGGAAGAAGAAATTGGCAGCATAAAATGACATCATTCTATTTCACAGGCTCTCATCAGCTGCAGACCACCTGAAATTACAATGGTTAGATAGATGATAATAACATACTTTAATGTTTGAGTGGTAGTAGAGAAAAAAACACCATAAAATAGACTCATCCAAAAGGTAAGCATTACAATTTTTAGTTTAAGTTTTCATCAGCAATTTATACGCTTTCAAAGTAGAAAAGAGGGGGGAGGGGCAAGACAGAAAACAGAAAAAATTAATTAACAGAACAGTGTTAGCCTGTAGGTTCACATAACAACTCAAGAAACAAAAGCGGTTACAGTTTATGAGATTAAGATTTGTTCAGTGAGTTGAGATCACTGAATTAGATGACTAATTATTGTAATCAAAATTCAGTTACCAAGGGAGTGAGATGTTAATCACACTCTCTTTCTGTATGAATAAGTCTGGTTGGTGTGAATCGTTTGATTGCGACCGCTTCGGCAAATCGTGGAAAATTTGCTGTCCTTTGTCTATTTAATATTTTGAAGGACTTAGAAATCTCTACGAGATGGTGAGTATCAACAATATGTCTGGTAATAGCAAAGAAGGGCTTCTATCCGGTTTTCTGAACATATTCCAAGAAACTTGTACGTGAAAGGAATCAAATATTCTCAGAGTGCAATTATCAAACATATTGTTGATACTCACCATCTCGTAGAGATTTCTAAGTCCTTCAAAATATTAAATAGACAAAGGACAGCAAATTTTCCACGATTTGCCGAAGCGGTCGCAATCAAACGATTCACACCAACCAGACTTATTCATACAGAAAGAGAGTGTGATTAACATCTCACTCCCTTGGTAACTGAATTTTGATTACAATAATTAGTCATCTAATTCAGTGATCTCAACTCACTGAACAAATCTTAATCTCATAAACTGTAACCGCTTTTGTTTCTTGAGTTGTTATGTGAACCTACAGGCTAACACTGTTCTGTTAATTAATTTTTTCTGTTTTCTGTCTTGCCCCTCCCCCCTCTTTTCTACTTTGAAAGCGTATAAATTGCTGATGAAAACTTAAACTAAAAATTGTAATGCTTACCTTTTGGATGAGTCTATTTTATGGTGTTTTTTTCTCTACTACCACTCAAACATTAAAGTATGTTATTATCATCTATCTAACCATTGTAATTTCAGGTGGTCTGCAGCTGATGAGAGCCTGTGAAATAGAATGATGTCATTTTATGCTGCCAATTTCTTCTTCCTTTCTTTCTTTAAATTTCTTTTTAGTTATACTACGGTCATTACTTAAATTTCAAATTCTTTCACATGAATCCTTATAAGTGACTTCAAGCATAGATTTGTTTTCATTCCTTCAGGAGCAGAAGACCTAAAGCTTCAAAGTTTTGTTTTTAAACGGAGGGGTTGTTAGTATCACGCCCAACCTTCCTACTTTCTCCAGGGCAACTACTGCCTAGTTAACTAGACAAGATTTAGGAGTTGTGACCGGGAATGAAATCTAGGCCGCCCACATGGTTAGCGACCATTTAACCTGTTAAACTATGACACACAATAGAGTTACACAGTCGTAATGTTTTTTTTCTCTGGTCTGTTTGAAATATTTCAATTAAACTTACGCAGTGAGTTAAATCATTTCTAGATCAGACTAAAACCATCGGTAGCACAACAGCAGGATGCTCTCCACCCACACCTCATGTGGTTTGGGATTCAATCCTCTGCCGACGAACTCCTAAGCCTAGTTAAGCCGGTAAAGAAGGAAGGTTAGACGTGAGGCTAGCAATCCCAACCCATAAAAATAAACGTCAATGCTACCGAAACTTCAAGCCTCAAGCTTTAAGCCCAGTGTTCTATTGGGAATGTAAAGGAATAAGAGAAAGCCAATTTTGTGTTTCATAAGTCCTACCAGACCGATAGTCAACTTATGAAGATAAGGTTAAGAGGAAGCCAAGTCAGTAATATTTTCGACATCTTTCTCATGTATACTTTGACTCGCGTAAGAAAAATGTTATATGAAATGATAAACACATGAATGACTCTTAAGAATTACTTTACATTAACTCAGTAAGAACGTGAGCCCCGTATATTCTTTTAAGCCCTTAGAGAAGTGAATGATGGACTAAAATCTCATAGTATTTATCATTTTAAATGTATGTAGGGTGAAACATACATAAGGAGGATGCATCGATTACTGAAAAACAAAGTCTACAGAAATAGAGTGAGATCCTAGAAACTGTTAATGGTGAGAATAAACCGCCAGTCTCTTCAGTTGTAAACCACAATATCGAAACAAGGCATAAAATAAACGTCTGTGAAAAGTCGAGTGACTTTGTTGCCTGTTCGCATTAATTGTAGCGTCTTAAGTCCATTGTTATGGTGGTTTAATGACAAGTAATATTTTTATATGCTTTTTAAATGAAACTTTCCATTAGAAATTTCCTTTTTTTTGAAATACATAATATCGGTGGCGTAATATGCTTGAAACTGCATTACATTTTACTACATTTGTAATCGAAAATATCCTTGTCGGCATAATGAATTAAGCGAGGCAATATGTTCGAAAGTTAAACATATATATATATATATTTTCTGAATTTTCATGAAATCATGTTAGTACATTTGACCTATTTATTCAAATGCTCTAATGCCCTCCACATAAAGCAAATGGAGTCATTTCGAAAAAGCAATATGGCATACAACCACCCTGATAAGTCTAGTAAATCTTTCTGTAAGACCTTTAGGATAGCACTTCTAAAGTTTATGGTAGACTAAGTGGGTAAGGTGGTATAGCGGTTAGGACTCTGGTCGACCATATTCTCACAATTTCATCAAAAAGTATTTAAAATCAAGTCATAAAACCAGCAAGAAGCCAACATCAAAGATTATAAGAAAATTCATTTTAACATTCTCTGAAATAACAGGTAGAATATTAACACCGTTTGAAATAGGTATACTATATAAGCTAGCCAGCCAGCACAATCATTTGATTCGATATTGTGAAAACCAAAATATCCAGCAGAAATGAAGATAACATTAATACTATTCACCAAAATAAATTGTATGAACCGCAACAGATATTACATTGGTCAAAGTCGGTGACCCCTACGAATCTGAATCCAAGAACACAAATTAGCTGTAAAAAAAAAAACATGATATTGTTTCATATCAATGCATGTAGATAACTATGGACATCAATTTGATTGGGATAATGTAGGGAATTTAAATGTAGAAAACACCAAAACTGCAGTCAGAGAATTCCTAGAAGCCTGATACTCAAACGAATATGCGATTAACAAACATATTAATATAGATCAAATCTACCAACTAGTTAAGAGTAGTAGGATTTCATTATGAGTTGACATTGGTTAGAGAACCAGTGGAAAAACTGAGAGTACTGAACAACTGTTTCGTCCTAGTTTGGGAATCTTCAGCAGTACGCACCCGTCGGGGTTCGAACACAGGACCTCCTGGTTACAAGGCGAGCTCGTATACCATTAAGCCACTGAAGAGTCCCAAACTAGGATGAAACAGCTGTCCAATACTCCATGCACGTTTTCCAATGGTTCTCTAACCAATGTCAGCTCACATGATGAAATCCTATAATCAATCAACGAAATCCCTACAAATCAATACTTGAATAATTAAAAGTAAATCATGTGATGAGAAACTTCAAATTCCAAGTCAATAAACAATGATCAGTACAGATGTAAATCGAGTACCAGTCACGAAGATGGTTACCAGGAGGCGAAATTCTATCATTCATGGAGAATATAAATCAGTTCATGTTATGTTAAGACTTGCGCTTAAGACATTATCTAGATGGAGGTTGGCGAAAGCTTCGCAATTGAACCAACCAGCTCAGAGAAAACACCACTAATTCCAAATACGATATCTTCCACTAAGAAACCTTAACAGCCTCAAGATTGCAAGCTGGTACAGTCGATTTACAAATAGATAGTTCATTTGTTCCAGTATTTAGTTACAACACCCACCCATCCACCCCCAACGATGTAGAGAATTTAAGTCGACAACAAAGTAACATAAAATTATCATAATGAACAGTTTACAGATACGCCTATAAATATACGAAAGCAAATATGTGCAGATATGCCTCAATTATTTTTGTTTTGTTGTTGTTGAAATAAACGAGATTATGGAAGAAGATGAGGAAGAAAAAGTATGGAATAACTATTTGCACTACCCAATAATATTTCTGAGTAATAATAATAATAATAGTAATAAATGAATAAATACATCCTATTTTACATCATAAAAAAACTTTTTTGTTGTTGTTTCTAGTCTATTCAAACTCAGGAGATTACACACACAGTTATGTAACACAGAAGTAAATCAATAAACAGTTTCAGGTAAACACATTGTGATCATAGTTATCAACGACAACAACAGCAGCAACTATAGAGCTGGAAATATGACAATGTTAATAGTTTATATGAATCTGCTAAGTGTTATCGATAGTCGATATTATGACAAGAGTCAATAAACAATAATAATAATAATCATAATATGAGCAGTGATCATGAGCATACACTATTCTTCTTATTCTTCTTCTCCTTGTGTGTTATTCATTCATTCATTCACTAGGACAATTGACACAGTATAAGTAGATAGGTCCATCTTGTGAGATAATATTTCCTTGTTTTGGATCATAATAAACATGTATTAAATCTTTTGGATTTAAACCAGACTCAAGTCCTTCATAATACGGTGAGAGGAAACGTTTCAATCGACATGGTCTTATACTTTCTGTTGATTTCCATTGAATTTCATGTTGTGGTTTTTGTAAGGATAGTTTTGTAATCGATTGATCATCATTACACATTTCCATACTGGTACTTTCATTAATAGTTGTTTTAGTAGTACTTTCATTCGATGTTGTGGATGGTGGAATATAAATTGATGATGTAATAGGCTTTTCAATACTGACGACTGTTGTCTGTTGTCCACAAACCTCTGAATGATTATTACATGTAGTTGAATGTGAACAGGATTCATGAATAATGTCAATTGATCTTTCTGTATTCAGTGAATGTTTTATTTCTGGGGATAATGAGATTTCAACAATATTCACAGGTGGTCCAATAATTGGTATATTGAATTTTTTTTCAGTTTGTTTATATCGATTTCCGCAAAGAGTTGTTAATGTTTTCACTAGTTGATCTCTATCTGTACCACTTTTTGTAGAGAGTAAAACATACTCCTTTTCTGAATCATATAAACGTGAGGCGATGCCTAAGGCTAGGAGATTTGGTGTAGAATAGAATGTGACTAGACAATTGAGTTCACTTAAATGTATACCGTTAAGGATTGAATTAGGCCACCAATAACCACCAGATAACCATAATTCATCATTTGTTATATGTAATCGACACCATTTTGATGGTTTATGCTTATTTTTTAATTGTTCCCCGTGTCGTTTAATTAATGTGTCTGAACTGAATTCATCATCAGGATCCAACTTTACATATTTTCTAATCATGACACGCATAGATATGACTTCTTTGCCTTGACCGGTACGCATTGCAATTTCAAGTATTCTGTCAGTTTAAGAATAATAATTATAATAATATATTTTTTTCTTTTAACAGTAGTTACTGTATTGTTTGATTTATTCTGATAAGTAAGTGGGACAATGTTTAACATAAATGTATTAAAAATTAAATTACCTGTTTCTGAAAGGATTGGAATTCAATTTATTGCTGTACGAGTTATTCCACACACCAGTTGAATTAACACTCAAGAAGAGGATTTTAAAAAAATTATCGAATTATTCAGAAGAAAAATAACTGAAACTGTCAAGGAACTTAACACACACACACAGACAGAGAAATACAAAAAACAAAACAAACAACAACAGTGGTTTCGGCACCGAATTTCTGTACACCAATCTGTTTGTGTGTAGATGTTTAATGAATATTTCGTATTCGTGCTATTCTGAATGGACAAACAGAATTATTCGACCTAGAAAATACCAATCACATAGCTGACAAATCATGTGGTGTAAGCGGTGAGTAATTTAGGCTCGAATGATTTATCAGTGCTCACTTAAAATAAGCCTACCTACCTACACATATTATCTGTATGTCAGTACTTATTCTTAGGTATTATACGAAGTGAATAAAGTGTTGATTGGTAGTCAAAATATGTGTAAAGAAATACGGATACAAGATGGTATATACTACTACTACTACTACTGGCTGACATGAAGGATTGGAAACTAAACGTGCCAATCAGATCGGAGTAAAGTTATTCACTTCTTTAAGCTGAGTCAGTCACGGTACACTGCTGATGACTGTTTTCAGATCACTAAAATCTAAATAACAATGACTTCTGCTTGAAGTAAGCGACTTTCTACTAACCAACGCATTCAGTAGTGTATGATATCTTGACACTTTGATTCCTTTCTTGTTTGTTGTTTATTATTCTATCAAGCAGGCTATGCATTTGTGATTTCAACAATTTTGATTCGCCTAAGGAAAATGTGGTGAAATCTCACCTAAATTTCTATGATAGATAAGATTTCATTTTGATAGAATCACACTGGTGTTATACAGTAATATTAACTGATGACAACGTTTCGAGCACAAATTATTGCCACTCATAATCATATCAAGTTACTCACTCACACAACCCTTTGCTTCATTTACATACATGTGTGGAATTGACCAGATATTTGAATAAAAATCAATATGGGATAATGTACATTCAGAAATATTAATATGAGTGTTATCAATCAAGTACAATCAGATGGAAAATAAGACGAGTGTTTTTATAGTCATAATAAGTAACTTGTTAGATTGTTATGATGTATGTGAATTGAAGTAGAATTCTAAGATTATTTATTGTCCTCCTCTGGTTTGACTGACTGGTGGTAATAATATCTTCCATGCATATCTCTGGTATTTGCATTGAGTCATTTCTGTTGCATGTGTTCTGTTGGTTGTGTAGACTCGATGAACCAGGATTCAATAATCAACCTGTCTCTCTCTACACCTACCTACCTACATTACTCTTTAGAATTTAACCTATGTCGTTGACCTAATTCACAGTCATTGCAAGGTATTTTGTAAAGTATATTATTTTGTCTAATTGGGTCAACCGAGTGGGTCCTTTTACCTACAGAGCTTATCCCTGAGTGAGTTTGCAGTTTTAAATGCTACTCTAATTCCTACTTTACTAAGAATCCTATGTAGGGTCACGGATGTCCCCTCCTTATATGATAGAACTGAAGATGTCTTATATTCTCTCTTATTTATGTTATCATCATTAGTTCCACCATTATTTTTATTTTACTTTTGACAGAGAGATTGATTACTGAATCCTGATTCATTGAGTCTACAACCAAACACATGCAACAGAAATGACTCAATGCAAATACCAGAGATATGCATGGAAGATATTATTACAACCAGTCAGTCAAACCAGAGGAGGACAATAAATAATCTTAAAATTCTACTTCAATTCACATACATCATAACATTCTAACAAGTTACTTATTATGACTATAAAAAAAACACTCGTCTTATTTTCCATCTGATTGTAATTGATTGATAACACTCATATTATTATTTCTGAATGTATATTATCCCATATTGCTTTTTATTGAAATATCTAGTCAATTCCATACATGTATATAAATGAAGAAAAACAGTTGTGTGAGTGAGTAACTTGATATGATTATGAGTGGCAATAATTTGTGCTCGAAACGTTGTCATCAGTTAATATTACTGTATAACACAACACTGTGTGATTTTATCAAAATAAAATCTTATCCATTATGGAGTTATACTCTGCCACAGTGCCCAAGTTTTATACTCACCTAAAATTGTTTAAATTGCAAATAGTGAATGAATTTACAGATTTGATTCAATGTATCGCCAGTTCATCCAAGTAGCCAGCAACAATTCAGATATTTTAAATTGGTTCCACCCTATGAACTGAATCAAACCGAGTGAATCGCTTATGAGCTCGGCTGCAAACGAGCGAAACAGCCATCATTTTTATCTGGTTGATTTAAGTGATGCCTAACTACTCCTCTTATTTATTCAGCAGTATATACAGACAGGGATACACTAGAAGACTACATTTCTTTACTACTCTGAAATCGGCATGGAAATCTGCCGCACTCAGTGTAAGGAATAAAATCGGGATTTTCAATATTATTGTCAAGTCAGTTCTTCTGTATGTTTCGTAGACTTGGCTTATCACTAAAAGCATTCGAACAGGACTCAGACTATTATCAATAGCTGCCTTTGCTCTATGCTGAACATGAGATGCCCAGAAGGTATAAACAACCAGAAACTATAGTAAAGAACAAGCCGAAATCCAAATGATCAATACATATACCCAAGGAAATAGATTAGATACACGCTGAGGAAACCGCTGAGGGAAATCACGCACTTAGGCCAGCTTTGAATGGGAAGCTACAAGCTGGGTGACCGAGGTTGATATGGACGAGATCCTGTGAAGAGGAAATGAAAGCTTATGAATAGTCACAGAGTCAGAGAAAGAGGACTGTAAAAAGCAGGGTGAATTGGAGATATGCTGTTGAATATTCCATGTTTCAGTAGATATCCAAGAAAGCTCGCTTTGTAAATATAAGATCCCGGATTCGAACCCCACAGTTTGTGTGCGTACTTCTGAAAAGTCCCAAACTAGGATGGGGGAAACAGCTGTTCAGTATTCCCTGCAGGTTTCCCAATGGTTCTCTAAATGGTGTCAACTCGTGATGAAATCCTCCAACCAACCGAACCAAATGCCTACAAAATCGATACTTGGAAAATAATAATAATCCCTTAGAATCACTTTAAATATTTTTTATTTCTATTTTTAAAGCCCTTAACTGCCTTTTGACGCAACATAACTGTAGTGCTTCAGAAATGACGCCCTTGAAAAGAAATGTTTCTCCAATGAATAAATCTTCGTGTTTTCATATTTAAATTCCTGACAACATTTGAGTATGTACTGTGTAGCATTTAAGTTTACAAGATTATTTTGACCAGTTCTTGTCATTCATCCCTTCAGGTTCGCTTATGAACTTACTCAATCAATGTTTGTAAGCTTTTATTATAAGTAACTTAAATATCACAAGCTGACGCTTAGTTAAAACCTTTCCAGTATCATAATTTATACTCTTTTACCAATTTAGACAAAGCAATATGGAGACGAAGTTTGTCTGAATCGTGTAATGTATTTGCTCAACACATTTCGAACCTTCTGATCAAACAAGGACTTGTCATAGGAATATATATGAAATTAATAAAGAGGTAAGAGGTGAGAAAATAAACCCAGGTCAAGTTAAAAGGACATATTGAAGGTGAAAGTAAGAATGAAGATCGCTAAACCAAATAACACAGGTAATAGTCCATCTGCCCTGACTGGTATCAAAACAAAGTTTATGAAGGAAGTTGGTTTAGTGTGATGACGAATTGTTGCTTTGAACGCATAAAGGTGCTTTGAAATTCCTAATTGCTAGCCAGGGCTTCCACAGACTTTAGGATACACCCCAAACACGTTTTATAGATAGGTTTAAAAGATGTGTAAACGTCAATTTTATTTCCTGTTTCTGTAATATGTTTCACAATAGAGGAGCTAGGTCTCTTGTTGTCAACATTAATGGGTTCCGGGGATTCTATTTGATTCTGAAGCCATTTAGAAGTATGCTGTGAACCTACTAGCCCTTACTTGGAGAGATCAATGAGTCCTCCCTATGTGTGTGGGCACACGTACATTCAAATTGGTGAATACAATGGGATGTTACTTTGTTTCATGAACAAGATTAGAGATATTAGGTTGTAATTTACTGAATTTCAATGTTTTATAAAATTGCCTCAGAAAGGAATGATTTTTAATACATAATTCATAAAATTGCAACATGTTGCGTTCGACGATAATTTTACACCTAAGGTTAACAAGTTCATTTGACAATTTGATAGTGTGTAGAGACAGTCTCCTCTTTAAAAATTTAAAACAATTAGTTCTCTTTATGAATTTAGACAAAGCAATAAGAAGACGTAATTTGTCTGAATCGTGTAATGTATTTGTGGAACACATTTCGAACAATCTAATCCATCACACACAGACTTGTCATCTGAATATATATAAAATTAATAACAACTTAAGAGGTGAGAAAATAAATTTAGGTCAAGTTAAAAGTACATATTGAAGAAAGGCGTGTACATCAAGCTACCCAATGTGGTTGATCTTAACACCTTGACAACTAGACAAAGAATGAGCGCTGCGGTTAAAAAGACTTTTTATTCAGCTAATATCATAATAATTGAGAGTGTGAAGCCAATATATCCATCTAAGCCATTTGAGCATGCGAAAAATGATGTCACATTCCACTGTATCTACCAAATTAAATGTATGCGTGGAGGCATATACATACAGAGAATTCACCGATCTCTGCAAGTAAGGATTGGCTTCAAAAGCAAATAGAATCCCCATAACCCATTAATGTTGAGAACAGGAGACACAGCTCCTCTATTGCGGAACATATTATAGAGACAGGAAATAAAATTGACATTTACACATCTTTTAAACCTATCTATAAAACGTGTTTGGGGTGTATCCTAAAGTTTGTGGAAGCCCTGGCTAGCAATTAGGAATTTCAAAGCACATTTATGCGTTCAAAGCAACAATTCGTCATCACACTAAACCAACTTCCTTCATAAACTTTGTTTTGATACCAGTCAGGGCAGATGGACTATTACCTGTGTTATTTGGTTTAGCGATCTTCATTCTTACTTTCACCTTCAATATGTCCTTTTAACTTGACCTGGGTCTATTTTCTCACCTCTTAAGTCTTTATTATTTTAAAACAATTAGTTCTCTTTATGAATTTAGACAAAGCAATAAGGTGTAATTTGTCTGAATCGCGTAACGCATTTGCGCAACACATTTCGAACAATCTAATCTATCACACACAGACTTGTCATCTGAATATATATGAATTTGTGAGATAAAACTAAGTATTCAATATTTCCTAATGGTAAACTTAAAACATGCTGAGGGCTAATTTATTTTGATAGCTCGATGAAAACTAGGATAGATTTATAGTCAGTTTCTTTTCTTCTATGGGA